CATTTAGAGAAATGAGAGAATTTTCATTTTGAATGAACCAAATAACCTGAAGTTGCAAACTTTACAACTACTAACAGCTCCAAAAAATGAGCACAAATCCCTTCCACCCAATTCCTTAAAATTTTTCTAAGGTAATTTTGGCACTCAGTCTCCATAATATCCAAATAATCATCTTTAAACATTTTATTTTAAATAATTCCACAATTATTCATTGGACTTGCAAATGTTAAAATTGTTAAATCCTATTCCCTTCCAATTGTCTATTTCAAAAAGGATTTCTCCCATTCCCCAAAATCAAAATGAATAATTTTACATAAGAGCAAAAAAATCTAAAGCTTGTGGACTTTCTCAGCTAACTCATGGCATAAAAATTTTAATTTCCTGAACCAAGCAAAAAGAAAGATTTATAAACTTTAATTTTTGCCTGTCTTTTTCTTACAAAAATCAGTAAATGAGTTTTCTCAGTCATTTTTGTTGGCTTTAAAAAAAAAAAAAAAAGTGAAAATTTTGAGCAAAATCAAAAAGAGGAATGTTAACAGATTGTTAGATACTAATTTGTTTTTTTTAATTATCAAGACTCAAAAGCAAACCCACCTTCTAATAAAACAAGTGAACTGCAAGCAAAAAAAAAAAAAAAAAGTGAGGACAATGAACAGCACTCTGGATATCACAGATTAAAAATTTCATAATAGAAATGAATTTGAATAATTATTTCCTTTTATCATTTCAATTCCTGTTTTTCTTTCAAAAAATTTCCTCTTCTTCCTTCCTAATTGAAAGTAAGATTTTGCAGAAATGTGAGATGTATATAGAGGTGACAGATGAGTAATGAGCAAGTCCTTTTCTTTTCATGTGATTTAATCAGTTACATTGCTTTGAGAGGAAAAATGTCTGGATTATTGTAGTGTGAGTGGAAAAAATATCAAGCAAATCTAATTAGGTTTAATAAAATGTCTGAAGAGGCATAAAGAACAGAAAAGAGATAAAATAAAGAAGAGTGTAAGGAAAAAAATATTGAGTGCTGTTGTTGTAAAAATATTAAAAATAGGGAACTTTTTTATTTATTTATTTTTTTTAAATATAGATACCTACTATTTATCATCATTGATGGTATCACATGATATCATTTGATATGTGATGGTATCACATGATATCATTTCATGTCTTATTAAGGATGAAAAATGATGGATCTTTAGTAACAAAACAATACAGAACATACAAATAAGAACAAAGAATAGATACAAAATGGATAATCATTCTATTACTGCTCGAGCAAATGGTGGGTTCAGTGAGAAAGAAAGAGGCTGTTTGAGAAGTTTTGTTTTTTTTCTTCTTTCTTTTCCAATATTAAAAGACAGTTACAACAATAAGAAAAAATGTGGACTTAATACAAACATTGATGGACAACAAAGCAATATTTCTTTCCTTAAATTCAAGCATTTTAAAATTCAAAGAGTGAAATAAAAATATCTTTAAAAAGTTATTGAGAAAATATCTTAAAAGCTTCCTTCTTAAAAATATCATTTTCTTTATATATGAAAGGGTGCTGAAAAGTTCTTAGCTGACTCACTTTCTAAAATCAATATTTCAATGAACAAACATCAGAATATCTTTAAGGGTTAAACTTAAGAGACAATAAGCCAGTGTGCTGAAATTAAAAGTGAAGATGCAGATTAGAATGTATGTTTCATGAGAACTTTTCAGCACCCCCTTGTACTAAAATTATTTTTTTTTAATATTGTGAAAAATATATTTTTTTAAACATTGTGTTTTAACTGACATTTGTATAAACAATTGCATTCTACAACATATCTACTCTTTTTAAATTTATCCATCTGTCTCCATGACAACTACTACTGGCCATTCTAGTATTTTGTAATAGGAAATTAAGTTATAACTCATATTAATGGCTGCTTATTTTTGTTTCATGTTTAACTGGAAATTATAATGATTATTATTTCACTTCATTATTTTCTCTCAGATGAAGCCATTAGATTCTTTTAGACTATATTGCATGTAGTAAAGTATTTTGACAATTAAAAATGAGAGGATTTATTGCTGGGCTCATTAAATAGCAAAGATTATAAGAATATAACCAGGTTAAAATAGATTATGTTGCATAATGAAAATACCAACAGGTTATAGGAAATTTGGATTCTTATTTAAATTGATCTACTAAAGATTTATCCAAACTTTCCTTTTATTTTGTAAACATATTTTTCCTGTTTATATCTACTATAATAAAATAAAACTATATATTGTTTATAGAAAAAAAAAAGATACTTTTTTCTGAATTAAACCTAAGATGATGAATTGTTATTCAGTTTAGTCAAATTATTCTCATCTTTAATTGTAGATGTTAGATACAACATTTCAACCAAGTATCCTCTGGTTGTTGTCAAAGGTCTATTATTTTTTGGCTGATATGTGATATTTTATTTGATTGGCTGGAATGTTCTCATGGCTTCTAAATGAATTTGTTGTCCTACAATAAGAAAACTTTCCTTCCAACTAAATATTTTGTTAGTTCTTGTTTGTTGCTGCTAAGCTAGAAAAAATTGTTTTCCTGTCTGATCTAGGAATTCACAACCACCTGTATCTAATAAAAGATTTTTTACAGTTTTAAATTTGTATTTTGCTTATAGCATTTTTATAAAATAATTTTTCTACATAGTATCTTTAAGTGTTCTTATATCATTATGCTAAAGATTAAAAACATTAAACTACTCTTTATCCTTTATAAATGACCATAATTTGAAAGTGTCATTGTTTGACTAGCAAATTGTTCAAATGTCTCAACTGGATAAAAAAAAAGACTGAATTTATTTCTTTACTGATTTGTAAAGTGATTATTGTCTGAAAAAGAAGATTCCCTCATCTGTTAGATAACAATGCTTTGTGGAACTAAAAGCTTGGATAATAGTTGTAAATCTTTTTTTTTTTTTCTTTTAAAGCTAATGATTATTTTGATGTGCCTAAATTGAATGATTGGCTCATATGTTAATGAATGATATTCAACTAGATGAAAACATCCCAGCATTTTCAGAAGCACAAACATACATGGGCTGTAGAAAAGCCCAGAAATGAGAACAGTTTGTATTGCTTTAAGTAAAGAGAGAGTCACTAAACAAAATCTAAATGATGAGGTTGCCGAAAATTGAGACCCGATTACCAGTTGAGACAGGATGAATACTCAGGTTTGTCAAGAGAACAGAAGGCAGACTAATTTGTAGAACCTATGAAATTTGAATTGTTTTTATAAGTAGACAGATAATCTTTAACTTTGCTTATCTCGTTAACAATACTACCTAATTAAACATGACATTTCTCTTTTATTTGAACAGAAGAGCCGAACATAAAGATAGAGAAGCAATAAAACAACAATTTTGAAAAAGATGAAAGGGAAAAAATTTGTAATTAATAATAATAAATGAAAATAGCCAATTTCAGGACAAAGAACAACAAAGGAAAATTAAATGTAAATGTATAAAAGAAAACATTGGTGGTTATGGAATTAGATGAAAGTTTCTTATAAGAAGGAAGGAATGATAAAAATAATTCAGTAAATAAAACAAGATAGAATTAAAGTAACAGAAAGTAATATAAATTGATATAGTGAGAGCAAGAAGAAAAGAAAAAAACTTTGTTGATTATTATTATTATTACAAAATAACTACTCTAAAGATCAGATTTAATGCTTGTTTTAAAATGTATTTGAGTCTTTGCTTTTGGGTAACATCAGACAATTGTTGCTAAGGGGCCAGTATTTCCAAGTACATAAAATATTCAAAATTCCATTGTTTTGTTTTTTTTGCATTTTAGTCAAATGTATGACTTCTGTTCAATGTATATTATTTAATGAACACTTTCAAAGCATGTATTATATATAAGATATCATAAAGTAAATATTTTTCACACTTTAAAATCAAGTACAAAGCAAACCTTAAAATATATGTCTCAATCTAAGCGGATATGGATCTTCACATATATCTGAATATATTCATCAAAATTATCTTTTCATATTTATAAATAAAAAAATCCATTTAGTATAGAGCTATAATAAGGAAATAACTTTTTATATGTGGTTTTTTTTTTTTATATAAGATAATCACAAAATCTTTTTCAAACAACTTATTCTATAGTAAAATAAAGTAACCATCTACAGAGTTTGAACTCATGACTAGATCTTAACCCACCAATAACCATTCTGCAATAACATTCTATTCTTGAGAGCACAGCAAATCCTTAATTTCAAAACATTGAAGATATGAAATAATATTTATGTTTGAGTAAACATGCTATATATCATTCTGCATGAAACCAAAAGGACTTCATAAAGCAAATTTTGTATATATGTTTTAAAAGAGAACACATTTCCCTCAAATAAGTATATTCTTTTTAAAATAAAATGTATTTCTGAAGGATTAATGATATAAATATGAATAATAGAAAATGAGTAACAGCATTTGCTCATAATCAAATAAGCATTCACAAAAGAGCCTGTAACTCATCTGATAAGCAAATATTAATATAGCCTTAAACATGGCATGTTGTAAATGCGTAATTTGATGTTAATACTGTGTGTGCAAGAAAGAGAGAGTAAAAGAGAGAGCAGAAAGAAAGAATATGCTCCTTAGAATATAAAAAAATAAACAAGTGGAACCATAGAAGAAATTAAAAACTCAATAATATAAGAAGAAGAAACTTCAACAGACAGGAATCTCTTCCTAAATATCTATTTTTTCCCTTTTTGTTTTCTTAATATGAAGCCGGGAAAGAATAAGATATACCACAAGAAATATTTTATGAGCCCCACACGCAGTTGACGAGCACAAGTGTTTTTTTTGTTGTTGTTTGTTTCTTTTTCTTCTTTGTAGTTGAATTTTTACCCCTTTTTTATGATTGACTGTTGGGGGTTGGGTAAAAGGGTTGCTGGTATTGATGCCATTTTCCCCCATCACATTTGACTCAGATAATTGAAACATATGTACAGCCAATGGCTACCAAAATAACCAGACTTTCTTACGGACTTTGGTGGCATTTTTACTGCCTTTGGCTTGTCTTTCAGGTGTAGCTCCTCCCTGAATTAAAAAAAGAAAAGAAAAAGTAATAAAAAAATGAAGTGTATACTAAAATATCTTGCATAAATTTCTTTTTGCATATCAGAGGATAGATTATCAGAGTAAAAGAAATAAAATAAAATAAGAAATTTTTTTTTTTTTCTTTGCTGAACATTCCAGAAATAATTTACCATTCAGCTGTTTATTTGAAAACTCTTAGTAAACCAAACAAGAAATGGTTATTGTAATCTAACTCATCCAAATACATCATCCAGTGCTATTCTTGTTGGATCCATTCATAAGTCTCATATGTGATGCTATTGATACAACTAAAAATGTTAAAGGTAGCAATATCTGTTATCTGCTTGGGTGTGAGCAGTCATAGTTGTCCATTTTGATTATTCTCTTTGCACACAATTTTCACCTTGTCTTCTTATTGTAAACATTGTGTGCATAATATCATTTGAAAACCAGCAATTTATGACTTAAATGCATTCAATTAATCAGTAATGAATATTTTACCTAAAAGAAAAAAAATAATACAAAATTAATTTTATTTTACAAATTTTCTTTAATTGGATATCTGTGATTGGATGCATATTACTCAAAATAAAAACTTTGTGGGTTATATAAGGGTATAACTGGTAGGTAGAAAATCTTGTATAAATAGAATTTCATATATTAAAAACAATTCTTACATAGAGAAATGAATATGTTTTCATTCTTGAATAAAACAGCAAAATAAACAGATGGAAAATAAAACTGCAACCCACTGAAGGACAATGCTGATTTTAAACTGGATCAGTACAGGATACGATGGGTAAATTGTCACCATTTTATATTTTTAATTTTGCACATGTGCGTTGTTTCTTTTTTATTTTATTGACTTCACAGTATAGTTGGGTACCATCTGTGAAAAAAAGAGCACCATGATACAATTCCCTCTGTCAGAAATTTGGAAATGGCATGCTGTACCACTTGGCATTTGTGCCAGAAGCTCCAATACAATCATTTCAGAGTATGTGTCAATCTGAGGACAGTGCAGAGTATTCGGAAAGAGATGGATGATATATCCAGTCAACATCATGGTGTTTGGAGTGATCACTAGTGATGGCGACATTATGCCCGCATTCATCTTCCCACAGAGCCTCAGACTCAACACGGAGGCCTACATCAAGTGCCTTGAGGAGATAGTGCAGCTCTAAGTCATGGGGGTAGCTGCTGGAAGACCCTATGCCTGTCAACAGGACTCTGCACCATGCCACACAAGTAGGAGAACCCAATCATGGTTGCTAGACAATTTCTGTGACCATATCACCTCTTATATCTGGCCATCCTCAGACTGCAACAACCCTAATTATTATGTGTGGGTCACAGTTGAGCAGGAGACCAACAAAACTCCTTGTAACACTAAAGATGAACTGAAAGCAAGGATTATGGCATCATTCACCAACCTAAACAAGAAGACCATCCAGAAGAGTTGCAGGAGATTCTGAAGACTTCTGGAGGCCATGGTTGAAGTCAATGACAATTTTATTGAATAAATTTACTCTCTAATATTTCAAGATATATTTGCCAAAATTGCACAAACATATCTGTTAAAATGAGATGTCAGTGTTATTTTCATTTTTGCGTAATTTAGGCAATTCATACATTGCACACTGTATGTGCAAGCTGGAGAGGAGTAGATATTCTGAGTTTTAAGCCATCTTGTTACATAGTAACATTTATACAAGTGCATTACTGTGGTGACTCATGTCGCAATAAGATTCAGTGTGGGGAAAAATGTCTAGTGTGTCATGTCAGAAAAACATCAGCTCCTTTTGTTTAATTAGAGTAGTTGGATTAAAAGCTTTTATGAGGTTGGATAGCTATTTTGGAGAGTTGATATGTGTTGGACATAACAAATTGGTGATGCTTTGATACTGGCAACAGTGATCAAATGACCCTACATTAATAGACCAGGTTCTGGATGGCCACATAGTACAGATGATTGCCACTGTTGTCCTTACAATTCATCAGACTGCATAGCTTTCTAAGCACAAATCAGAACAAATGTGGTTCCAGCAGTGTCAATATAGACTATTAGAAATGGTTTAATCATAGCAGGTCTATAGGCATGCAAAACTAGCCAAACTTCCACTTACTCCATAACACCATTGTACATGTCTCCAATGGTGTTGCAAGGTGGTCACCTTAGAGATCAAATTAATTTATAGTTCAGTGATAGGAGCAAGTTCTGCCTTTATACAAATGGGGATTGTTTGCACTTGCAACATCTTTCAGTGTCTATTTATCCCTCATGACACATAGGCCCAACCTATAGCATTATGGCATGAAGTGCTATAAATTACAATTCTTTGTTGCTTGTGGTAAAAACAATGAACAGCAGCATGAATAAACTCATTCTGCTTCCATTCCGGTATCAAATTCCTTGCTTGACATGATTGTCAAACCTGCCCCCACCCCCCGCCCGCCACTGAGCATGTAGAGTACAGGATGAAACACCCGACTCATTTATTTAGCTCACCTACAATTCTTATTGCATTGTATCTACAAGTGCAAGAGACACTAATGAATTGCAGAATAGTATTCACCATCTGTTCAATCACATGCACACAAAAGTAGAAGCCTGTATTATTTCCCAAGGAGACACAGTTAACATGCAATCTGAGTACTACTAATGCACCCCTTATATTGCAACCTGTGCATATATTCAGTGAAATTTTGCAATTTGTTTATATATCTATATATATATATATATATATATATATATATATATATATATATATATATACATGGATGCACAGAGACAAGTGCATCAATGTCTGCATTTTAATCATGCAAAAATATATTTTATAAAAAAATTATTTTTCAACATAATTTGTCATTGTATGTTAGTTTAGTGGTGAATATTAATCACAGATCCCATTTTACTATGAAAAGTTTAGATCAAAATTCAGCTGATAACTACACCATTGGCATATTCAGCCATCTTTATATATAACATTGCCTAGTACTGCCAAGAATAAAATGCCTTTCAGGATCTGTATTGATCTTGAGTAAACTTACTTTACCCAAGCCATTTCAAACATAGATAAACATTATAAAGAATTAAAATAAGTAAAGTGTGGCAGAAGGTCACTTTTGGAGAACCTAGTAAAGATTTCCCCATTATCAGCACTAGCAGAAATGCTCAAGTTTTATGATTCCTGATGTTTCCAGTTAAGAAAAAGAAACCCCAATAAATTTTTACAAAAAAGAATCCAGAAGTATTTTTTGTATTATAATAAAAACAATTTTACTATTTCTATTTGCTAGCCATCTTACTGGAGACAAAATGCACATGTGCATGCACACACAAAGTGAAAGATTTTAATTTCCTGAATAGTAACTATGATGAGAGTGGATTGCCAAAGGCTTATTTATTATGAATAAAAAGACAAAGTGAAAGGACTGTGTGTGGAATGAAAAAATCTTCAACTAAAACTGAACCATATTTTCTTCCTTGATGTGTAAGAATTTTTGCATTTTATGGTTAGAAGTCATGATATAAATACTGATTCCAAAGATTTTAGCAATCTTGAGCAACCAATTGTCTGTATAATTGAGGAGTACAAATCAGATAATCAGATATTTCTTTTAAGGAATGAGAAAAAAAATATGCATTTAAAAAATAAAAATTTTGGCTGCATATAAATTATGCCATTTAAAAACTTTATGTATATATAAATTTGTTGCTGAAAAACACTTCAATTCCTTATTTAAGCTATAGAAAACAATTTTCACAAGGGTACCTTTTACTTTAAGTGTGGTTTATATATGTATAAATAATATGATAGAAGTTTGTTGTTGACACAATTACTGTTGTTGCTGCATAATAAATATGTTAGGACTCAAAGAATATATATCTGATGCCTTTAATTATAGAAAGTCCAAAGTATAAATTCCTTGTGTATTGAATTACGATTATTTTGACAGATTATTTTCATGAGAATTTACTAGGAAAAGCAGTTCAATTCCTATTAAATAGTTCTAAATTAAACAGTCTTCTTGATACAAAAATCTATAACATCAAAAACTGAAATTCTGGATTAATTATACTCATTAGCTTAGTTTGAAGATGAAATACTTTAAATCATGGCATATTGTAACATGTACACAAAAAACAATTTTAGTCATAGGTATTTGCAGAATAGGGGACAAGTTTAGCATGAACAAAATGTTCATACATTTTAGGTTTTCATATAAAAGTTACATTTCATTAAAGATGAAAAATAAGTCTCATTAATAAATTCAACTTAATGAGTTTCTAATATTCAACTTTTTTCTGCATTTTATAAAATGAATAATTTTTTAAAAAGTTTAAATTTAAATGTTGATTTTGAAAATCTTGGACAAGTACTTATATTGATACATATAACTTTGATTTATATTTCATGTTAGAAATCCTAGTCAGAGTTTCTACACATTTGTTCAGACTAGGTGAGTGATTATTTATTAATGTCACAATATAGTTTCAGTATCAGTACTTCAAAAGTAGTGTTTCCTTTTTTATGGCATTTAAAGAATGAAAATATACAATCTTCTGCATAAACATAAACTTGTTAAATGCAAAACGAAAAGTAAAATTCTACACAGTAAAAAATATTCAAGTTGCTCATTATTTTCCACATAATCTGCATGTACAAATGAATGTTGAAATAATCAAGATTTAAGAAAAAAAAAAATACAAAAAAACAGCATTTCATTATTTTATCTACTTAATATATTTATGGCATTAAAATGCAGTGAACTTTCATTTCTTTACATTGATGTATAATTATCTATGATTAAATTAAACTCTCTTTTAAGTCTAAGTCAAAATATTTTACAAAATAAACAAAAACCGTTTAATGAAATGCTAAAAAATACTAATGAAAAAATTTGAATTTTGTTAAAAATTATAAAAACATCAGTAACTTTATTTGCTGTGAAATATGAGTGATATAAAAAAATTATTAAATTTCATTTAATTTCCC